AGAGAGAGAGAGAGAGAGAGAGAGAGAGAGAATTGAATCTATTACGCGATTCGCAATGTCGCGTCTTAACTGAAATTCCGATTCAACGTTCATATGTAACTGGTACAAAAATGATCTCTCTTCGAATCCAAACTTGAACACGTTAATATAGTTATTTGGTTAGTAAACTCGTGCTAATAACAATTGATGTTCTTCTCAACGGTATAACTGTTTGAAGATAATTTACACATTTTGCAAAGTTTCCTTTTATTTAACGAAATATACGATCAAGTTCTTGTTTAATTTTATCGCAAATTTTTTATATTGTGACAATGCATATGTAGCACATTGTGTATATAATGCATATGTATTTATGATATATCAAATGTTAGTGATATTATAGGAAATTCAAAGTGATTAATTATATTTCAAAATTATAGAAAAAAAAATGAAAATATTTTTGTATTTTGTAATTTTCTGAAGCTATATGTAATATAATGTACTATCGCAAATTTATTATATATATGAGATTTCTATAATTTTATATATTTGTTGTTCGAAATATAATATATAATTATGTGGAAAAAACAAAAAGTATACAAGATAAAAAAAATATATGTGCATCGTATATACATATAAATAATTAATCTTGCAATGAGTTGAAAAATGAAAAACGTGAGTAGAAAATCGACAGATAGAGATAAAAGAAACAGAAATAATATGAAAAGGGAAATTTTTGAGAGAACTTTTCTGCTATCGCAACGATCATGATTAAAAATCCTGTTTATTTATATATATATAATGATCAGTTGTATTTTCGCGACGATACATTTTTTTCATTAAATAACGAATGAATAAAACTTTTTTTTTTTTTTTTTACGCCGATAAACGAAACGCTTCATCAATGACCATTCCCAATAATTTAATAAGCCTAAGTTATCTTTACTTCTCGATGTTGAAAATTGATAGGACAGTGAATTACAATATGTATATAATATAAAAAAAAAAAAAAACAACGGACAAAATTGTCAAAATAGACAAAAGAATATAATAAATGATTTATGTTTTCAATTAATATTCATTAAATATACTTCATTTTGAAGTAATCAATGCCATCCAAGTTCTATATCTTCAATTTTTATATTTAATTCTTCGAAAGAAGTATCAATACCATGCTCGTCGAATTCACCATTTAGTTCGATCTTCTGTAAATATATAAAATACAACAAATATTATCAGGTATATTGCTATTGGACTTAACGAGATAAAACAAATTGAAATAAGGAAAAAAAGAAGAAAAAAAATAAAATATATATATATATATATATATAAAGATAACAAACCTGTAGCGCTGCGATATGCGAAGGATCACCGACTAATAAAATCTGCGTTTCATTATCGTTTAAATCGTCGATTGCTTTAGAAATCTGTATTTGCCCATCTTTTTCTGTAATCTTCGGTTATATATGAAAAAAAAGGAACATTTTTTGAAAATTATTCTCAAAATGTATTCGAAATGCAAAATGTCTTCCAAGTTACCTTTAACGATGAATTACCATTATCTCGTGTAATGTTTCTTTTTTGTTTATCTTTGCTTCGACTAGATGATTCTTGAATAGAATTTTTACAAAGAGCATCAACGTTATCATCGTTGTCTATTAACGCATGAGCAGTTCTTTTGTGCATTACAAGAGTACTACTTTGTCTATATCTCCTAAAACAAACTTTACATTCGAACGGACGTTGTTGTGTATGAACCTAAAAAGAAAAGAAATGTATTGAAGCGAGTTAAAAATCAATCGTCATCGGCAATTGCAAATAATGATAAAATTACTAACGAGGTGATGTTTATAAAGACTAGAATATTCTGTAAATCTTCTTCCACAATTTTCAATAGAGCATACATATGGTTTTTCACCTGAATGAATTCGTATATGATTTTTATAATTTGTTGCGCTCGCGAATGCTTTGCCACATTTGGGTTGTGTACATTTATACGGACGTTCACCGGTGTGCGTTCTCACGTGAACCTGGTATGTATACGGAATATAATTTTTTCTATTTTCTAATTTCTTCTAACTGTTTTTATTTTATTTATTTGTTTGTTTATTTTTTCGAATAAAATTATATTATTTTAAAGTTTTCTCTTACTTTCCGAATATTACTCGTAGTAAAAGAACGACCGCAACCATTGAATGGACATAAGAAAGGGCGTTCTCCAGTATGTGTTCGTACATGTTTTAATAAATCTCCGGATGTCTTGAAACTTTTATCGCATGTTTCATTTGGACATTTGTAAGGTTTTTCCCCTGTATGCGTGCGTAAATGCGCTTTTAAACTATATCCTGTCGAGAAACTCTTCTTACATTTTGGATGCGTGCATCTGTATGGTCGTTGACCAGTATGAGATCGTTCGTGAACCTGGTTTAATGATATTATTTTATTATAAGATAACAAGATATCGTTTCATAATTTTTAACAAACCTACATAATTAAATTTTTAAGACACACACACACACACACACACACGTTATATTATATATATTATCATTATTTAAGTTTCCAAATATGCTTATAAAATATGATTAAAAATATTTTCCAGTTACATCTATCAATGTGAATAACATTGAACAGATAATGCTAATTGTGAACGGACCTGAATTGATTTGCAATTTGTAATTGGTATCAGAAAGGATTTTTACCTTGAGATGATGAGGCGTACTGTAAACTTTTGAACAACCCTCTCTTGGACAAGGATGTCTTATCCTCGATGTGGATAATTTATTTAATAAAATTTTCGAATCCTTCTTCTTCAATTTACCATCTTCGATTTCCCACAAATCATTACTAACATCGATGTGACCAGCTACCATATAAGCATTACCATCAATAAATTCCACACGTGGATAATTTTCAACGTTCTCTATGGTAGTTTGATGAGCTTGAACCAAAGTTGCTGGTTCCAATTCCAATTGAAGTGGTTTACCTTCAGTAAGTTCTGCTACATTGCGAAGCAATATAGTATCTCCATTTTCCAATTCTAATGTTGCTTGCCTTTTTAAATCCATATCTAAATCGAATGTAGAATGATGCGGATAATAAGTTTGCAGAAATTATAAAGTAAGTTATAGTACTTGACTAACTTTACATACTAAAACGTTTAAATATTATTCTATATATATTTGAATGTTTTGCTATTGATACAAATAACTAAGTTTTTTATAGTCCTTTTGCGTTGAATTATTAATTTCTAACCATTATCGTTGAAATTATTGGCAACGAATGCTTGCGTTCCATCGGGTAATGTTACTGCTGTCAACGTTGTGCCATCGCTTAGTAGATGTTCATCCAATGTTAATCCTTCTGTTTGATCATTTGCAGAGTTATTCTCGTTAATTAAAACGGATAGACATTCCAATATATCCATACGATTATTCTGCAAAATAAAATTATTAATGACAAAAGATAAACTTGTGAAATAAAATGAATTGTACCGTTTCAATTGAATGAATCGTTGAATAAAATAAAATGGTAATTTTACCTGTGTCTCATCCGACATAATTTCCACATCTCGAGTCACGAAACGATTTGAAAGTTCTGCACCTTGTGTCGACATATTTCTCTATAAATCCAGAGCTGCGAACAAACAACGTTTCGCGATGATCGCCGATGATCCACGTCATTATTTTGTGTCTTAGTTTCGTGTCCGCAGGTAAGCATCTGTCTCAAAACAGGGGTCATCAGCAACTTGCTTGCGATGCATTGAAGATTCGCGTGTATTGTACCAAGTTATCTTTACCGACGAAAGTGAATACTTGCACGAATTTTTTTGAAGTATAAACATTTAGAAGAGATATCACGTGCAATCAGGAACATCCACCAATTATGATTATATTGAATATCCGCGTAATGATTTTAACACAAATAACGCGCAAAGCATTATATTAATAATATTTGCTGTATCAGTAATTATATGTAGTCATCAATGATATTTAAAATTGATATTAATTATTATATTTACAAAGACGGTTACAATGATGACAATCGCGATCACCATGATCGTGGCGAAATGAAAAGTATATAAGATGCATATACGAGCAATGTGCCATTTGTTAATCGAAATAAATATAAATTATAAAACAAAATTTCAATTATTTACGATAATGTATGATAAAGTAACATCGAATAAAATTCGAACGTCTTTTGTTTCTCTCTCCTATTTTCTTTATCTTTCTTCCTCGTATAGCAAATTCAACTTTCGATGTTTCGCGCAGCCTCGCAATTTGATACCAAAGAATCTTGGGAAATATTACCCATAAACTCGTATACCCGCGAAACCCCTTGATGGGTAGTACATGTTAAACAAGATAAAGATAATATTTAATACATTATATTAACCTAGCAATTTTACGCACCGATAGATATGCGGTTTCAACGATCATATACTTTTTCTTCGAGGCTACATCGTGTTAAACCAAGAGACGTAATCGATAACCTTCTGCAAATTATAGTTATATGTTTCTAAGATTTTAATGCAGTTACATAGTATGAGCTTGGGGGGAATTTTCAGCTCTTATATTCGGTCTGTTCATTCACAATTTCGGCATCTTTCATCAACATATCATTCTGAGAAACAATACTAGATAGAGAATATACATCCTTTAACCGTGCAACGACTCGTTTTTGAACGACCTCCATTACTTACTTAATCTTACTCTCTATTGGACATTTCTATTGTAACTATGTATTCATATAAAAAGATTATATAAACGTTATTCATTTTTTACTTCTTACAAAAGTATATTGCTAAATTTATAAATTTTATAAGTACATTTATTATATGAATATATAATTAAGAGAATCACATATAAAAATTTTTTAAGAATATTCTACATTTAAGTACATTACGCATGAATATGCATACACGAATATATATGTGAATATATTCGTGTAGATGGCACATATGTCATTCTAAGGTGTAACCAAGTACTGGCTGAAATGTCTATGTGTGTTTTTATAACCCATATTATTAATTATAAACAGATCAAAAAATTGGACCGATATTAAAGATCAAAATTATTAATTTTGTTCATTTTTATCTGTTAATTATTATTAAAAGTTATAAATAAAATATTAAAATTTGTCTTTCATCTATACATAAAGTTGTAAGGAAATTTTGTTGAAGAATATCTATATAAAATAATAGTTGCATGTAAAAATAATACGTTACTAATAAATTAAATGCAAAAATTAATTTGTATCGAGCGATCTGAGATTTTTCATTGAAAAATTTCACTACTTTGGCTTCGTACAAAATGAGAAAATTTGATACAGATAGATTCGTTGATTCATATCAATATGAAATAATGTACATATATGCTCATGTTTAACGAACGTATAATATGTGGTTCTTGATCGACGCTGGATTCCATTAATTCAGCTTCCAATGTATTTATTGAATAAAATGATTATATTGCGAAAAGGTAATTAATAATAAATAATAGATAAGTTAATAGATAAGATAAAGTTTTTATATTACATTTTACAATTTTATAATTTTATAATGTGTTTTCTTATATTAATTTAAATTATGATTAATTATGATTAATTATTTAATTAATGAATTTAGGCTTAGAATGCAAGAGAACCGATCGATAGATGTTTCACTTTGGACAACACGGCCAATTTTAAAATTTAAAGATAGAAGGAATTTTAACAGACCACTCAAAATGTTTGTATCAAGGACACAGACATCGAACAGTACTTTTTATACTGAATTGGAACCTGATGAAGTAATAGATAGAAAAACTGATCTAAACGAGTTAAAAGAATGCCAGGATAAAGATTACAACCATTCTGATATAATACCGGAAAGTGAGAAACAGGAAAATTATGATGGACATTCATTTCGAAAAATTGCTTCTTTTGGAGGTTTTCCACGATTTCGATCGTTTATAATGTCGACCGAAAATTCAATGGATCAAGGTGATACTCAAGAAGAAGAAGAAAATTCGATGGAAGTCCCATTTGTACGAATATCACGCAATGTTTTGGAATATAGGAATAGTAGGTATGTTAATTAACTAGGAACGATTGTAATTTATTTCACGAAAACATTTTTTTAAAAAAATTTCTCTTTGCGTAGATATTTAACTACGGATAGAAATTCTCATCGATATGCAGTGGAATCATTTGCGATAAGCGAATCCGAAAGTGAAGAAGAATCGGAAGGAGCAAAATCATCGGAAACGGATACCGCGATAGTCGTGAATCATAATACTGATGACTCGATTCTAGAATTAAAATCAGTTGGTAATACAAGTTATTTGGATTCCAAAAGGAAAAACGCACGTCGAGTTGCTGAAGAATTGTTAGTTACTGAAAAAAATTATGTTAACGTTTTACGATTGATCGATCAAGTATTCCAATTCAAAATCGATCAAGAGAATAGAGCACATCCTATGTTTCCTCCAGAGACTGTTCAACATATGTTCTCTAATATTAAATCGATATATAAATTTCACAATGATTTCTTGTTACCTCAACTTCAAGAGAGAATGCAAAATTGGGATTCAAATCCTAGAATCGGAGACATAATGAAAAATTTTGCTCCTTTTCTTAAAATGTACACAGAATATGTAAAAAATTTTGATTATGCCATGAATTTGATACAGTCTCTTCAAACTAAAGTCACCAGATTTGCTGCGATTATCGATGAGATTCAAAAATTAGATGAGTGTGCCAAATTATCATTGCCTCATCACATGTTGAGCCCTATACAAAGATTACCAAGATACGAGCTTCTTCTAAAAGATTATTTGAAAAACCTCACAGAAGAAAATGCTGATTACAAGGATACTAAAAGTAAGGATCTTTCGAGTTCCATTCGATTCGATGAGTTACTTCCGAATAAAATAATGTGCATCTAGCAAGGACTTGCTTCTATTTAAACGTCTATTGAACGGGACACGTTTAAATAGACGTCCGTAGATGGCGACGATTATAATCGTAAAATCAAACGAACAGACATGGCTTTCTTTCTCGTAGAGGCATTGGAATTAGTATCTACTGCTGCTAATCACACGAATGATGCAATGAAGAAGATTGACAAGTTCAAAAAACTTCTTGAAATACAAGAGAGTATATACGATACAACGGATCTAGTCAGTGCTACGAGGGAGCTTATAAAAGAGGGTCGTATCGTTAAAATTTCAGCAAGGAGCGGTGATCATCAAGAAAGACAATTGTTTCTGGTATGTACAAAATAATATTGTACTTAATATACACAATTTAAATATATCGTGTACACGTGATCATTTATTCATATATAAATTTTTATCGATGATGATATCCATTTATATTTAATTAATATTACGCTTAATTAAATGATGGAAATAATGATTCTTTTTTTCTATTTTTCAGTTTAGCGATTTATTATTACTTTGTTCAATAAGATTAATACCTGGGCCATTATATCGATTGAGAGCTAAATTTCTAATCGAAAATTTGCAAATAATCGAAGGTGATAATTTAGAAACAGCAAATACATTTTACATAAGAGACGAAGATAAAAGCGTTGAATTATATACACATGCGGCCGAAGAAAAAGCAGCGTGGCTTAATGCTCTGTTCGATACTATGCAAGAAATGATGAGAAGAAAAGCAAGTTTAAAAACTAGTGATGTTAAAACACTTGTTTTAAAGAGCGACGATATATCCAAGTGCATGATATGCGAGGTGATTTTTTCTGTGATGAAACGGAAACATAATTGCAGAGCTTGCGGAATAGTGAGTAATTTTCTTATATAATAATATATATCATAATCAATTGAAATGGAAAAAGAAAAGTGTTATCAATGATAAACTTACATATTTATCGTTTTTCTTTTTTTCTTTTCTGTTATCATTTAATGTATAATATTTTATTTGCTATATAGATTGTTTGCGGTAAATGTTCAAATCAAAAGTTATTGTTCGAGGATAATAAGAATACGAGAGTTTGCCGTTTATGTTATACCGCTTTAACACAACCGCTTGTTAAATCACCTTCTTCAACATCTACATCTGGACCGGTACCAAGTTTATTACAAGTTTCAGCAAGCGCATCTTCCGTTATATCTGGATATCTTATGTTAAAAACTCAAGCGAGTAAACCTTGGACACGGCGGTGGTTTGCATTACATGCCGATTTTGTTTTGTATACATTTAAATCTGAATCTGAAAATATGGCTTTGACAGCAACTCCTATGCCCGGTTTTATTGTTACGGAAGGTATTAAATTATCCGACGAAGATCCTTTAAGTTTCAAGGATAGATCTAGAGCTCTTAAAATGCATCATTCTAGGAAAAGTTACTATTTACAAGCGTTATCGGACGAAGACAAACAAAAGTAAGTTTCATATGTTTCTCGTACATGCGCGTATATACGTGTATACATATATATATATATATATTATGTTACATATTATAAAATTCAAATCAAATTTTCAGATGGTTCTATGCTTTACAATTAGCTACTAAAGCAGAATTACCTTCATTTGTAACAGTAGAAAACAAAGACGCACAAAAAGATCAATCAATTGTTCAAATGCGATAAATTATTGTCGATCTTAAATTAATCTTTTACTGCCGTTATCATCCGTAAGATCGCAGAATGATAAAATAATCTAATTAGTAGATAATTATTATATGATGTTAACTTATGTTATATAGATACATGCATAAAAAACTTGTTGTTGGTGTATTGTGGTCGATTTAATGATGATCATATTGCCAAAACGCTTGTTGTATTTTGTACCACTTTGTTATAATATATTTAAAAATATATAAGTATATATATTTATATTCGATATGATTAACTTGGACATTGCACCTACGTATAATATACAAATTTTATTTCAATGATGTGAAATACATATTTATTAGATTTTATTAGGTAATAAACAAAAATTAATTTTTGTATATATTATAATATATCATAATTTTGTACATTTGAACTATAATATATTATCGAATTATTTAATATTTCATATATTATAATCGTTTTATGACAATTAATAGAGAATTAAATAAGAATATGACATGAAAAAAGAATTTTACCATTTCAAATTAATGTTTACGCAAAAAGAATATTTTTTTTTAATATCTTCTTGTAATTCAACAGTATTTGAACGATAAATTCAAATTGATTAAACTTGATAGAAATCAAATGTAATCAATCAAATGATTGAAAAAATATCTTTTTTCAGTGTTATTTGTACTATAAATAATTTGTCTTTGATTTAATATTAAAAATTTAATTCGTTGCACGATATAAATTTTGCAATACTTCAATAAAAAAATGATAAATTAACAAACAAGATATAAAACGATTATTAAATATTA